TCTGGAGCAGTGCCTGAGATGACAATACATCTGCTCTTACAGGAACCGTATAGAGCCAGGATTTCTGTTCCAATTTGGAGCAATCAGAAGTCGCAGGTTATTTGTGCAAGTAACAGATTACTTACACATGCAATGACATAATTTGACATTTGGACATGTTTAATATGAGCGTTTGGAATCTAGGACACACATATGACAGAAAATTGTTTATCTGTGTGAGCAAGCTGACTCTACTCAACAGTGTTGTGTCACCCTGACCTCAATTAAGGAACATTTCAAAATATACACTACATACAGATTTTTCTGCACTTAATCCCATGCAGGGTGGAGCTAGCATAGGGAAGCGCTGTCTTTGTGAATGACTTTTTCTGTTGCAGTGTGGAGGCACTTCATCACAGTCGTCCTCCTCTCTCTCCCCCTCTGTGTCTTTGTGTCATCCAAAATTATAGCCGCAGGGTCATAAACTGGTCTTGAGCTTGTTTCTTGTGGCTTAGCTCACTCTGTAACATGCGGAAGTTGGCGTGGCTGAAATGTGGGAGGCGGGAGAAGAAAAGAGTTTCTCTCCTGGAAATAGCAGTGTAAACTGCCAATATTAGTTTTTGATTGGTGATGTAGGCATTAAGAGCTAAATTAACAAATACGTGGTGACAGAGGTGCGTCTAGAGGGAGGGCCTTGGGTGTCACTGGCTCCCACCCAAAATAAAAGCCCACTCCACAAACAGTGACATTGAAGTGGAATGGAGGATGGATAGGCCCATAGTGGAAATGTAATTTATTACATTCACTTTAAATACTTTACTAAGGTACAAATTTGGTCATACCCGTGTGTTTTTTAGTATTTTCTTCTTCCTGCTTCTACTCCAAAATGTATCATTTGTCCTCCATATTATTTATTTTATGCTAGTTTTTAATCATTTTACATACTTTATTTAGATTTTCAAACATAGACAAACATACCCAGCAATATAAAAAGAATTCAAATTGTATAGAGCTGGAAAATTAATTAATAAAAAATTTATTAAAATTAATCAATATTTATGAACCAGTAATATAATGTATATATCATGTTTATATTTTGTTGCAGTCAACTCATCCTGTACTTTGGTGTTTTTCTTTCCTGTCATTACAATATTGAATTTGTCAGTGAATTTGTTCATAATGAGTATAATAATAATACATAATCAATTAGATTTTTGCTTTGATTTTATTAGTGCTTTTTAAAAATATGTTTTGTAGCTTCAACGTTTCCCTGTCAATAGTACCCAAATTCATCTATGCAGCAATTTATGCAGTTGATATTAATTTTAAGTACTATACAGCATCAAGAGGAGTAGTTGTACTCTAGTCAGTCATTTTAATTAAAATAGACTCCATTGCCGCATCCATTATCTGAACGGAGAATTTCCCAAAACGGAAATCATCAGAAGGTTGAAGGCCCCACCAACTCTACCCGGCACAGCTGGGGCATGCCCTGGTCATGTCACACATGGAAAAAGAGAGTTGGTACTGCTACACTGCAAGGCCCAGTCCAGGCGGCAGTGACCCTGCTGGGAGTGATGGGTGTGCTGATGTTGCTGTCCAATTCTCAGCTGGAAGGTTTACATCATAAAGGTGTTACCTTTGGTCCTGAAACACAGAGAGCAACTGTCACATACCAGCTTGCCCTGGACATAGCATGAGGCAAACTGTGTGCTCTGCCTGCCTGTAGCATGTCTTTAGCTTCACCGGTTTTTAGTTGAGAGTCAAAGTTTGGTACTTGTTGCCAACAAAATGTCAGACTGGTCTCCATCAGTGCTAACCTTTGTCAGAGGCTCTATTCATAACTTTTAATGGGCTGAATTTCTTAGCATATCCAAGAGGCGTAGGGTGTCAGATTCAGTGGACTCATCTCTGCTTTTTGCAGATGATGTGATTCTCTTAGGTGTATCAGGTGGTGACCTCCACTTAGGCTACATCCACACTAATGCGTTTTCGTTTGAAAACGCATCGTTTGGGCCTCCTGTCCACACTGAGACGACGTTTTCGCTGATGGATAACGCAGCGTTTTGAAAACGCTCCCGAAAACGCATACATTTGAAAACGGTGCTCGCGTGGCAGTGAACAGGAGCCCCTTTTTGAAAACTATGACACATTTTAGTCATGTGATGCAGTCAAGTGACCAATTAAACTTATATACAAGGGCATTATACAGCAGTTGTTTTGTTTGCTCTCAGTTTTGACAGCCCTGTCAAAGATTAATATCAGTCTGTACATGCTTCAGATAGCTTTTCTTCAAATTCTTTAATTCTCACTCGCTTTTGCAACTTTGTACTTTTGTGTTACTCGCAGCAACAACTCCACCTCATTGTTAGTCCATTTAAAAAACTCGGTGCTTTTCCTCAACATTTTGCCGCGACATTTCAAAGAGCTGGAAAGTAAAGAAGCGGCAGACAGAAATGAGGCAGGTCGAATCGTCTCCCGTTTCACGCATGTGCAGCACTGGAACGTAAGCGTTTTTGGCTGTTTCAATGTGGACGCACAATTCTGTGAAAACGACTGAAGTTGATAGTGTGGACGCGGAGCGTTTTCAAATCTATCCGGTCTAGTGTGGATGTAGCCTTACTCTCAGGTGGTTTGCAGGTAAGTATGAAGCACTAGGATGGCAATTAACACCTCCAAGTCTGAGGAAGCCGTTCCCAGCCGGAAAAGGGTGGAGTGCCTACTCTGGGTCAGGGATGAGTTGCTGCGCCAAGTGGAGGAAATCTCAAGATCTCAAGGTCTTGTTCACAAGCGAGAGGAGAACAGGGTGGGAGAATGACAGAAAGATCTTGTACAGGTGTGTTGTGAAGAGAGAGCTTAAGATAAAAGCTAAGCTATTGAACTACAAGGATCAACCTGTGGTCATGAGTGACTGAATAAATACGACTGTGTTTATTAGTGGTTGAAATGAGTTTCCTCTGAAAGGTGTCTGGGCTCAGACCTATAGGGTGCAGAGTTTGGTGCTTAATGCTCAGTGTAGAGCTACTGCTCCTCTTCATTTAAAGCAGCAACCTGAGGTGGTTTGGATGCCTCGTGGATGCCTAGGTCAGGTCCTGTCTGGTGTTTATAAATAAAATAAAAAACAGCAGGAATAATATTTATATTGAAATGAGTGAAACCTCAGTGATACCAGACTCAAAGGACGGTAAATAAGCTGTTAAGTAATAATGTGAAAATTAAAAAAAGTGTGTGCAATAATTTTTTAACTTTGCCTTGATATTACTATAATAATAGTTTTCATTATTCACTACAATTTCATTAATCACACAACTAAATTGCTCTTCTGTTTTTTAAATGTATTTTATTTGCTGCTGACAGTAATTTATTCTCGGGGTCCCCAGAGACTTCAGTTGGTAGTCTCTGATATGTAAATATTTCAGTATTAACATTATTTTTAGGATTATGATTTTTTGTCATAGTCCTTAATATTATCATTATGAGTTTAAAAAAATAAATAAAAACTTCCCACTCACTACCGAGCAATGTTTAAATTCTTGTGCACCCACACATTTGATACCACCTGTAAGAGAGCACAGGGCTGCACACCAGCGAGAAAATCAGGCCTAGTTGTGTTTTTTTCCACTGTGGAAGAAAATAAACTCTGTTCCTGGTTCCCCACAGTGTCCTGTGCCACTTGATTCTTTAAAGAAAATGCTAACAACGCCCCTGCACAGTTAGTTGTGATGTTAGATTTTTTTGTTTGTTTTAGTTGAGCAATAACGAATTAATTTGAAAACAAAAGCACTTGAAGGAAGTCGTATTAATGGCTAATAACCGGATTAATAACCGGAAATAAGTGCATTTTTAAAAGGTTTTGACGCAGGAAAAATACATTACCGGCATTTTAATTTTAATAATTTATTTATTTTTTCCTTTTTTTTCTTTCTTTCGCACTTTTGTTAGTCTATCAAGAGGTCAGACACGGTTAGCACTGTGTTCTCGTCGTTTTGACGCAGGTGGAAAAGACATAGATTTGCATTACGGGAAAGGCCGTTGTTGCCACGTGCAACCAGCACGCGCAAACGTGGAGAGTTGAAGATAAATGGACTTTTCACGCACACTTTGGGAACTCTTATCGCATTATTCCCAAGCAGGAAACTGATGAATGTTAGCAGTAAGGTGAGCCGTTAAAATGTGTTTTCGTTGTATGGACGAAACATTAAATTTTATACCACTGACACGCGCGTCTCCGTTCATTTAATTATGTATTTATTCATTTCTCAGTGATGATTTCCCTTTTTCTGGCCTTTCGGCTGAAAACCTGAGGCGTCACAGTTCTTATTATTTTAGTGTTCGTGTGATTTTAATATGTTGACAGCTTTTCAACGAATACAATTAAGAAAACAGAGTAAATAAAATAGGAAAACGCAGATAAATACAGCAGCGGGCCTTAAAAGCTGCAGTCAGACATGATTTATTGGCGCGCGGGGCGTTCGTGCGCAACCGTTTAAATTAGACCGTAACCCCGCCCCGGTTTGTACTTAAACACAACAAAAAAATTAGATAAATTAGATGTTATAATAATTTAATATTGTCTAATAATTTTAATCCGTGTAAAATGCTGCGTTTATTTTCAGTCTGGAGGAGGGGCCGGGCCTCCTTTGTCACAGGTGAGTTTACTCTTTACGAAATATTTAAGTCGTCTTCAGAATAAAATCCATTTTAATGCTGCTTGATTAAATGCATTCAAAATAGCTACTGTATCGGCCTGTCAGCAATAAAATAGACTTATAGTTTGGCTATTGTCTTTCAACAAATAGTTAGAAAATTATGCTTGTTGAAGATTTTTGTTCCCAGATTTTTTAAATACAGGGAAAACACGTGGTTAAAATTTTATTTTTGTGTGACTGAGGTCAAAGTTTGGCTTTATTTGTTTGCATCAGAGTGACTGTTCAGTAGATGAATGAAGTCAGAGGGTGCTTTCCCTCATCACCTCCTGACTCCACCCCCTCCACCCTCCTCACACACAGACACAGACACATGCACAAGCTCAGAGAGTGGAGGGAAAAGAGGGCTACTCCTCCTCACTCCTCCTCACTCCTCTTTCTCCATTCACAGAGAAAGCTCTGAGCTCCTTCTTGAATGGACCCCATCTCTCTGAGCCAAAACTTATTTACTGCTTTTGTGGACGAAAACTGAAGATCACCACTGATCAATCTGTCTGTTTTTTTCTCTTCTTTTTTTCTTCTTCTTTTGCTGAGAAACTTGGCTGCAGAGACTTTGCTGTGTCGCCATGAACTTCTGTACTTCTGTCAGACTTGATGAGTTTCCAGAGCGCCTGTGTGTGGTGTCGTAGACGACTGATTCAGAGAAGAGCTGAGAAAAAGAAGACGTACTCCTTAAAGTGACTGAAAGACTCCCAAGGATTAAGAAGGTGGACACAGGGAGACGGATCGAATTTAAAAATAGCCTTCCTTTATCCCAGTTCTCTCCCCTGGACCGCGATGGGTTCAGATGTACGCGACCTAAACTCCCTGCTGCCCCCGGTCCCGGCGGGTCCCAGCCCTGGCTGCCCGGCCCTTCCCGTCAGCACGGCCCCTCAGTGGGCTCCTGTTCTGGACTTCCACACCGCCCCCTCCCCTTACACCTCTCTGGCTGCTCCCCACTCTTCCCTGGGGGCGCACTCCTTCATCAAACAGGAGCCCAGCTGGGGGGCCGCTGGTGACCCCCACCACCACGATGCAGATCCCCATTGCCTCAGCGCTTTTACCGTCCACTTCTCGGGGCAGTTCACGGGGACTGGGGCCTGCAGGTACGGTGCGGCGTTCGGGGCACCACCTCCTCCGCCAGCCCCGAGCCAACCGCCACCCGTAGCCGCCCCGCACCACCACCAGCCCCCCAGCAGGATGTTCAGCAATCCGCCATACCTGACCAACTGCATGGACACGCAGCAGGCGGCCCGCAACCAGACAGGTAGGGTGTGAGTCTGGGTGTTAGAACATCACCAATTTAACTGTCAATTCTTTCACAAGAACTTTTGACAGATGCAGCTTGAAGTCTTGGTATCATTTTTTTTATCATTCAATTCAACATAAATCTTTTCTACTTTCTGCAGAAGGTGCTTCAGAAGGTGAAGGTCACTTTTCTATAACTTAGCACATTTTCTTTTACAAATTTTACCCCCTGTATATGCATCTGAAGTTCTCTGACAAATTTGTCAGTCATTAGTACATCACCAAAAATTATTTCATGTGGTTTAAACCAGCTGACGTGTTCCTTCTCTGGCTCGAAATCTTGGCTCGGCCTGATACGACCAAGCACATTACAAACATTGACATCTTCTTAAAAGCACACACAAGTTGTAGAAAGGCGATCCAGCTAGTACTCTTACACAAGACTCCTGTTTGTTTCTGAAAAGGTGGCGTTAAAAGCATTCGAGCTGTAGGCATTAATGTTTAAGCCACAGATGTGTGTCCTGTGCAAACGGCCCATTAAAAGATTACATCCATGAACTTCTTTGGATCTGATCTTGCTTTTAATCGCAGTCACTGAATTTTTTAAATAGGGTTACAGTAATTATGATCATTCTTTTCTTTTGTGTCTGACGCCCTTATAAATAAATTTTTGGAAGGTTTACTTTTTATATAAAATAACATGTCATGTGTTACTCATAATATAGCTCTGAAAATATCATAATTCCAGGTGCAGTGCTTCATATGAAATTTTATATAAAATTACCGTTTCATACTTTTTAAGGTAAATACAATTTTGTCTGAAATGTTTTAATTCATTTACAAAATCTGATTGTCAAGCACAACAGTATCTTGCTCTAATAAATGTCAAAGATTTGGCAATTGTAATTTATAATTCTTTAAACATCTGCTTAATGTGTAATAAATGCATGACTGCAGCAACGTGCATCAGCATGATCCACTTATAATTAAATACGCCACTGAGTTAGTTCAAATTCGTAATTTTTGCCATTGGAGTCGAGGGTTTTTCACATCTCAGCTTAGTCCTGGTTGTTTAGATTTAAGTTCAATTTGTGTTTTATTCGGAGAACAAAAACACTTTTCTGTTAACATCTTTAAACATTTTTCCATTATTATTTTCACGTTCGCATGTAAATTATATAAAGTTTCATTTTTTTCTGTGAATTTTTCTGTGAATTATGTTCACCTGAACCACGCTTTGTGCATCATCTCATTTAACCAGTAAAATCTGTCATTTTAACCAGACTAGAGTTCAGTAATTAACAATGAGCTGAAGCGTGTCCAAAGTCAACAGTGGGATTCATACCTTCTGAGTATCACACCCTAAACTTTTGTTTTTGTAAATGTTCATTTCAGGCAGAAAAATTCATCTGTTAGTGATTACCCAACTGATTAATTAGTAATAACGTGCTTATCAAGCAGATCGTTTAGGAATAACACAGCAATCAAAGCGCCAAGCCGACCTCTAACCTGTTTTTATCTGCTCCCCGCTGTGGCTGGATGAGCACAGACAAACAAACCAACAGCAGGACTCGGGTCACACAGTAGAGCGTGATAGCACAGTGGGGTCACACAGGGACCATCACACACACACACTCACTCACACACACCGCTTTTCTGTTTTTCTGTCATGTTCTGACGTTTTTGTGTGATTTTAACGACAAAACAAACAAAAAGTAAAATAAATTTTCCCAAAACACTTCAACTTTACAGCACAACTTTTACTGTACTTATTGCCATATATTTAACCTTTAGATAACACATAAATACATACTGATGATCACCTAATATGTAAAGCTGATTTCCACAATCATCCATTTGAAGATTTATTTACAACTCTGAGTATTAAAAAAGAAGAAGACAATATGGGGTATTTCCAGAGTTTTCCAGCTGACCTCATCTCTTCTCACCTCAGTGCTAGACTTCAAGGAGGCAACAAAAATGTCCCAATACATGGATGAACACACACACGCTCAAACATATGCAGAGAGAGAAAACTCAGACAGGGAAGAAGACAAATGGAGATGTTTAATGAGTTTTTTTCTCGTCCCCCTCCGCCTCTCCTCTCAAGCACCGATTTACAGGGTAAAGTCGGTGAAAGTGCTGTATTTTAATTAATGAGGCGTGCATGTGAGAGATAATGTGTGTGTGCGTGCGTGCATGGGTGATTTATGGCAGTGTGTCGTGCCCTTTAGGCCAGTCTAAGTCATGAGTCAGGTCTAGTCTGGGATGTCGGGCACGGATCTCTCTCAACAGAAGTCGGTGTGTTTGAGTGTTTCTTTGGGGTTTTTTTTTTTATAAAACTAAATTTATTCAAACTGAACTCGCAGTTTAACTGTGTGCATATTATGCCAGTGGTGAAAATAAGATTAATCGAATGGAGAATAAAGTCATAAATGAGGCTAATTCAAATTTTCTGTAACTTTATAAAAAAAAAAAAAACGAGTAAGGGAAGCTTAAGGTGTAACATTTAACATGTCTCATGTTTTATGAGTAGAAACAAAGAAAAACCCAGAAAATCTTCTTCACCTCCTTTTTTCACCGGTTTTATCATAACTTGAGTGATTTATTTTCATCTTTTAAAGCAGAGAAAATACATAAATACAACCCAAGTGCCCGAGCTGGTCCTCTAGATCATAGTCTGGCCTGCAACGTCCTAAAAAGTGGAAAAAATGAATAAATAATAATTGACATAATTATATTACTGAATCTCAAAATCTCAAAGTAGGATGATTGCAATGAGTCTGTACTGCTTTTTAACGTATGTGTGCAAAGCAAACTTTTCTCTTGCCTTACACTGATGCGTGAACATCTCTGCCCGGTGCTTCACATTTCATGACTTTGGCTGACTTTGATGGTCTTCATCATAAATGTTACCCTGATCTTTTCCTCTTTTAGTGATCTGTGCTGCAAGACTGTTAATAATAAAAGTATCAGCGTTGATGTTCATGAAAATGAGCATCATGTGTGATCACCGTTTCGTTCAGTGATGCACTCACCTTTTGGTGGCATTTTTTAGTCTATATTCATTTTGCTTGTAGCAGGATATATGCTGAAATGGTCATTTATGAGGATTTTTTTATTAATCTTATTTCTTCATCGCAATAACAAGAAAAAGGAAATTTTTTAATATAGAAAATTCTTGTGTTTAATCAGTAATGATGGCCTTGTTGTGATAATCTTATGAGTTTATTATAAGTCGTTTGTTCTGCATGCGGCTCTTTGGTTACTTTACCTTTATTACCAGATTCACAAATGCAGCTATGCTGTTGTATTTAGTTTCATGTCATCGTGTTTCACTGTTATGGATTTCCGCCTGTTTTTATGTATTTATTTTTCTTTCTGTGTTGCAGGTTACAGCGCAGTTGCATTCGATGGAGCCGGTAATTACGGTCACACTCCTACACACCACAGCTCGCAGTTCTCCAACCACTCCTTCAAACATGAAGACGCTTTAACTCAGCAGAACACGATGGGTATGTGCGAGTGTGGCTTTCGGCGTGCCGACGCGCCCTGTGAATTCAGTCTCTCCTGATAAATGTCTCAGCATGTAAACAGGAGTTTTCTTCCTGAGATTCATTAATCAAAATTTTTTGTTTTGCTTAAGTAAGTTAATTTTATTCTAACTATTTATAGTTAAAATATTTAAAAACCTTTTAGGTTTTCTAAACCCCCCCATATTAATATATGTGCTCAAATGGTAAAAAAGTTTTTTGTTTGTTTTTGTGTCTTTTAGTCTTCTGAAATAAACAGACTTATATATATATACACACATATATATCTCCATTTGCAGGGAATTGCAAGGGAAAATTTAAATGACTCATAGTTGTTACACTGGCTGTTTTTTTTTTATTATTAATCACAATTATAATTTTTACAAATAGTTTTGTTGCAAGCTTATACCAAAGCACATAGTTACATAGTTGCTGCAGGTCTTTTGCCTTTGTAGGACCACTACTCAGATAACATTTGTGCAGATCCAAAAATGCATTATTTTTCCATCTTTCTCAAAACAACAATGCATCAGAGTCTCTGCCAGTTGGAACAAAAATAGACGTTTCAGTGCGTTTTAATTCTGTGTGAGTGCACAGCTGTGTGTATGGCAGCCCAAAGGCCCTCACCTAGGGAGTGTCTTGTCCCCTATTCTGGTCCCTCGGTCCTGACCTTGCATGTTGGAAGTATAAATCAGCCACATCCTGACTGACAAACCCCTTTCATCCACCCACTTCTGTCTTTAATCCCTCCCCTCTGTATGGTATTTGTAAATATTTAAATAGGGGTGTTTTGTGGACCCGGAGCTGTAAATTTTCGATGATTTTTACAGCAAAGATTACGCCGGGAATTAGAGTAAAGAGAGGGATTTTTCAGAAATGTCAAGGGAGCCGTTGACAGAGAGAGAAAGATCTTAACATTTGAAGAAATCTGGGGGAAAAGAGAGACCACAAAAGAAACACTGCTGAGGAATTTAACCTTCACATTATGTCTTTTTTGTTGTTGCAAAAGCCATATTTTTTTTAATGTATAACTACCCAAATTATATACTGTATTGTGTATCTGTGTGGGCATTATAGGTGAGCAGCAGTATCCTGTACCTCCTCCTGTCTATGGGTGTCACACACCTTCAGATAGCTGTACGAGCAGCCAGGCTCTGCTTCTGAGGAATCCTTACAACAGGTAACACTCACATGCCTCATGCACTGCAGTGCGCACCCACCAAAACCATCAAATCTATTTTTACACCAAACTATCAGCAGCAATTAAATCGGGAAATACTTCAGAAACCATTGTTGATTGTTTTTGTGTTGCACTAAATTCAGTGAAAGGTAGCAGGATGCAGTTCTTAACAGGATGTTCACCTTCAGGACAGGTCTGCCTGCCATTGCAGTTTCCTTCTTTGCTTTTGTTCTGCTTCCTTTAGCAGCTTCTTGGTTGTTTCAGTTTTTGTGCACCCATTAGAGTATTTAAGTATTCCCCAAGTGATGTGAAAATCCTCAGTGTATGTATCGTCGTGACTTTGTGTGTAGATTAGTCCCCTTTTAATGCAACTGAACAATATCAAGTAACGGTGTTAGGACGTTCAGAAGGAAAGCATGGGCTGATTTACTGATTGTTTAAAATAAAGAAAGTCCTTTATGTTTATTCTGTGAGGATAATTGTCAGTGATTTACTGTCTACCTTTCTGGGGTTTTAATTGCTGTGAGACACTCTGGTGTTTCCTCTGAAGGACAGATGACGTCCAAGCAGAATTCGTCATAAAGTGCAGTTACATTGTGGCAAGACACGAAAAGGCTGAGCTTCTTCCACACTGAGTCTTTCGTAAGATCCTCTGGTTCTAAACTTGCGACTGTTCTGACATCATTTTGCAACATTAGCGGGAGTTTTTGATTCAAACAGCGCAGGGCTTTGTGCTTTTATAATGCCTTGCAGAGTGATCTACATTAATCTTTACGATATGAATCAGCTCGTGTTGATACAGCGCTTACATTTAAGTTAAAACTGTTTGTTTCCATCCAATAAAAACGAAAATGAAGAAAATAAAGGAAATGTCTTCACTGACAGCAGACTGCTTCACATAAGGTTAAATCACATTAAGCCATTTTCCAAAAGCAGTGATTTGCTGCAGTAGATGAATGACTGGAACACTAGATATATTTCCACTCAACAAGCCGCTGAGACGAACCGAAGCTATAAGCCTGTTTTCTTGTCATGAAACTCCACCGATGGTTGATGGCCAGTTTACCTTCTTTCATTGCTTTCCTAGTGGGCTTTGCAGCATTTAAGGAAAGGACTTTTTAGCAACAGTGCGCAAGACTCGCTTTTCACTTTAGATTAGATGAGCTGTCCAGTGTGACGTCTAAAACACGACTGGTGCAGTGACTTTTTTACCCAGTAGTTCCTTGTGGGACCCTGACAGGTCTCAGCACACTGTAGTTTGACTTGGAAGTTTTGTATTTGTGATAGCCATGGTGACTGTGGTCACACCCATAATCAATTTGACAAAAGTACCAAGAGAAAAAAAGCTTTTTCCCCGTTGTTATTTATGGGTGTCAGTAATAATGTTCTGTAGCTTCTCCTGACTCAGTTCAGTCTAAGTGAATATTGGTTGAAACATGCTCTTATGTTCCAAGCAAAGACAGAAAATAAGAAACTTAACAGCTGGGGAAAAAATCAAGCTCTTCCATGATAATCTTGGTTATAGTGGTGAAGATGGAAAATGAGAAACGTGCTGCCAACATGTCGTGACAAAGCATGAGCACATTCTGAGTTTAAAGACCTTGTCTTCAACTATATGGATAAAAACACTGGGCCACCTACACTTTACTGTGGCTGCTGCCATGAAGCTCCTGGTACACAGTGTTTGTACTGATGTTAATGCCAGAGGAGGTTTGAGCACCTCAGCGCTCAGTGACCGCACCCTGTAACATTGACTGCTGTTCCCGTGGGTGCTAAACGCTTCACTTTGCAGTAATACTTATAATATTTAGGGGGAAGAAACTTCATAAACTGACTTGCTGCTACGCTCACTTCCTATTTCAGTACCACACTTGAATTCAGTGAGCTCTTTAGAATGGGTCATTCATTCACAGTTGTTTGGCTGACTGCGAGGCCAGGTGTTTGATTTTATACAGCTGTGGCAATGGGACTGAAAATATCTGAATTCTAAGATTAGAAATTTTCTGTCCAATATCAATACTCTATTTGCTATGTTTTTACATACCAAGTGTGCAATTTTCTGCATGTACATATAGTGAGTCTGCTCCTCCACCAACAAGTATTTCACCTTCAGCCACACCCAAACTTAACCTTTAATCCCATCCTTTACTCCCTCACTCCACCCACATTCCAGAAATAAAAATATTGCCTAGTTTCTTAAAAATGTAGCCATTGTGCCCATTTTGTACCTGATAATTTACTGCAATTATTGTAAGTCGGATTAGTACAGAAAAACAAAACAAAAATGGATGTTAATGTAAATATTCCACAAGCCTTCACCACACAGAGCTACCTGTGCAACTCTTTTACAGATGCATTTAAAAACTAGCGGCAATAAGCTTCCTCTGAGGTTAATACATGAACCATTTTTAGTAGGTATGTCTCCTGGCTGTGTGCTCGCTAAAGTTTTTCTTGTTCTGATTTCTAAATATAACATTCTTCACATGCCATTGCTTCAGTGTTCCCCATCGATGGACCAACGTAATAAATTCTCTGTGAATATCACAGCAGGGAAAGTTGTGTGAGAGAGAGACGTATGGTCATAAGCTGTCCTCAGAATCTCCCTGTGAGGGACGTCTTAATCATAAACATAACTGATATCCACTCGAACGCGCTCTCATAGCTGGGAAGGCTCATATGAGTCAGTGGTCTAATCTCACAGCCTGGTACCAACAGGCCTGTATTTACTCTGCAGGCTGCTGGAACAACATGAAATAAAAACACGGGCCTTATTAATGCATACAGACAGGGGGGCACTCTGGTTTTTATCAAAGTAAAAAAGAGTACGAGGTGTATGAAATCGCACTCCATGTTCTGAACAGTTGCTGTAATCTTTGAGCTGCAAACAAATGCTCAGGCTCTTCTTGGACACACAGGAAATTTGGCAATTTGCATAGAATTCCAAACTTTTGTGTCCTCCGGAGTCATTTGACTTCTCACATGGAGTCGGTGCATGTGGAGGGGGTGGCAGTGGGCCACTCTTTGCATATTCAGTTATTCGGTTTGCTCAGGCAGATTTTGTTTTTTCATCTCACCGAAGCACGATTCACAGTTTGTCTGAACCATTTTCAGATATGTCTGGAAATCCCCTCCTTCTGACACCTTTGAAATACAAGCTCTTTTTGCACTCGTTACTTAAATGTTTATGGCAATTTGTATCTGTATAGCTTTTTGCAATACAATGTCTCATTAGGCAGATTTGTTGCACTGATAAGGGGCGACCGTGGCTCAGGGGGTTGGGAAGTGTATCTGTAACCGGAAGGTTGCCGGTTCGATCCCCGGGCTCTCTGTCCTGTTTGTTGTGTCCTTGGGCAAGTCACTTTAGCTTACTGGTGTTGGCCAGAGGGGCCGATGGCGCGATATGGCAGCCTCGCTTCTGTCAGTCTGCCCCAGGGCAGCTGTGGCTACAACCGTAGCTTGCCTCCACCAGTGTGTGAATGAATAGTGGCATTGTAAAGCGCTTTGGGTGCCTTGGAAAGCGCTATATAAATCCAATCCATTATTATAAGCCGATATGATTATGATTATTAGTGGGATGAATGGATGCTTTTAAAGTTACTGTTAGGTTTTTATGACTGTCCAGGTTTGACTATTAGTTATGATGGTTAAAGAGGCTTGATTATGCATTACTGCCATTGTTGTGAAGACAGCATGAGTGGATGTTTTGTTGAGTGCTTCATGCTGAGTTCCACTGACATCCACTTCACTGAGATGGAGGCAACATTTCAACAGTTCATTTCTATGTTGTTCAAACTGCGATCACCTTTATTAATTTACCGCTTCAGATCATTTTATCTTCTTGGATGCATTTGTTTTCTACTTTTCAACATAAAACCTAGATTCCCAGTCACTTCAGTTTATTATTTTAGCCTAGACAAATCAGCCAAAGTGTCTGTATTGTGTCGGAAGTGGGAAAAAGTTGGATTTGTACATCCCTATCCAAAAAGCCTGCCTACATAGTTATTATCAAAATTATAGATATTTGGTAATTGTGCTGTTTTTGATCCTCTGTGGCACTTCTTGAGATAAATTCTCTGTTTGTTTATTCTGAAGAAAAGATAAATTCTTTTGTAGGTTAACTGTGAAGTGGAGGGTTTTTCCAGGAAACACCTGCTGTAACACACGCTGGGTGTTACGGCAACAACAAAAAAAAGGGGAGGGGACCGATAATGGTCATAAAATAGATGGTCAGCAATGGATCCAGTGAGAGAAGAAAAGCAGACATATTTATTTGAAAATGTCATGGATAGCTGCTTTAAATCTTGCTCTGAACCTCCATCCCAGCAGTATTTCAGCAGATATACCATTTGGCCCAGCTGGCCGTGTGCCCCTGTTGTACTGTAAAATAATAGCTGTGTAACGAGCAGGGTACCAGGCACCACATCTACCCCATCCACACTGCTATGTGCCTGCAGGTGGTGTAATAGAGGGACTGTGGTGTTAGGGGTGAGAGCTATAAATCCATTGTGTGTGTGTGTGTGTGTGCACGTGAGGTATTTAAACGCATGGCAGCTCTGAATAATGATTCTCGAGTCTGCCGTGTTTAATGAAAGATGGCCGTAATGAGATAATTTGGCTCTCTTGGTGTCCGAGGAACATTTTTTAATCTCAGCTCCACCTGTGACTGTGTGGGTGTTTGTGTGTGTTGGCATTTTTCATTAGCGTGCTTCTACAGCGGACGACAAAAGCGAGTGAATACACACACACATACACCCAACCGTGTCCTGGTGCTTGACAGTCCACTGCACAGCTCATGAGCTTTTCTTCTACATTTTGTCTTTCCTCCACAGCGGTGAAAATTTATATCAAATGACCTCTCAGTTGGAGTGTGTGGCATGGAACCCTGTCAATACACTGGCATCCACCATAAAGAGGTAGGAACTCATCCATCGCTCTCTTTAAGCAGCAGGAGTCTGTCAGGTTTGGGCTGAATAGGACAGTGGGTCATGTGAAGGGAAGATTAGGTCGAAGAGAGTGAGCAAACTCATTATTTTTGGAACAGCAGCGGCAGTTTTCAGCACTGAAAGAACATCTTTAGTCTTTCCCACCTGCTGCGTCGCTGTGATGTAGAGTTTGAACAAGCCGGTAAAACACATGCTTCAATTTGGTGTTTAAGGTTTGAGGTACTGCTGCATGGACGGCAAGACACTGGGTTCAAACTCATGTGCTCATTTGTTTTATCTTAGCATGTAAACAACGCAGCAACCACTTTCTCTGTGATTTAGAAGGACGCCAGTTTTGTAGGACGTTTGTTTAAATAGCATAAGTTCCTACAACATACACCAGCCTTACTTAATTCAAATGCTACATCTATTCTTCCTGTTACCAGAGACATTATAAAAGCGAGATGTGCCATTAAATAGGATTTGCTATCAAATTTTTAAGCAGTTTTCAAATTTAACTGGTGATTCTGTTCATGCTGCTGTCAGGTCCCAGTGCCCGGAGGTTTTATCAGTATGACAGCAGAATGGCAAGACGTGCTTCTGTCAGGACTTTGCCTTTGTTATTACTAATATAAATAGCAGGAATAGTTACTTTTTGCTATACTATAAGTTATAGTACTAGAAGTATTGTTCCAAATGGAAGTGCATCTACTACTGAGCAGGTAAGAACATTCATTTAAACCACTGATCAGCCACAGCATTAAAGCCGGTGAGCAACATTGATCATCTCATATCACTTATTAGTCAAATGATCGCCGTCTGTCCTTTGCCTAACTCAGCAACCATTGATCTGATCACTGTACTTCAGACTGGTGCTCTTTTTCAATGGGGGTTGTCTGTGTTGCAGATCAAAATATTCAAAAGCATTGTTGCCTTGACATTAATACAGATGTTACCCTGTGGTAG